CGCAAGACGGTGTGGGATTGGGAAGGTAGAAGCCCATACTGGCGGTTCAGCACCAGTCAGAGGAGAGGCAGACCCTCACCAACAGCAGCACCTAGGAAACTGCAGGGATACTGAGAGAGCCCTGGCCAACTAACCCCATCCTGCACAAGGTGGCTTGGGGAATCCAGTCACAACTAGCTAGTGACATGACCCAGGCTCGAACCCACGTTCCTAGAACTCATCCTTTATTAGAGTGAGTGCTATTACCCATTGAGTCACCTCCAGAGGTGACACCATTCGATCTGTAAGGGACCCATGCCCATGCCCTTGGCCTTACTACCAACTCACTCTAAACAGCTGAGTCAAGGGATCACCCAGCCTTCTAGCCATCTCTTGCCAAGGGCAGTCCAGTAGCCCCCTTATGTTTATTATTGCAAGTTAAGCTGCAGCAGGGCCAGTACCCCCCACCTGTCAGTGCAGGGGCGGCTCCTGGACCAGCTCACTGGCCAGGCACCTGCAGACTTGCAGAGACCTGCTGGTCCTCTCAAGCTTGTCAGGAGGTGAATGAGTCCAATGGTTGAGAATGTCAAGAGAGCACAACCACAGCTCTCAAAACTGGGATGATCCCCGGCAGATGATGTTAAATGTGGACATGTGCAACCTATTACATGACTTAGGTCAACAAAATAAATATGGTGAAGCACTAATAAAGGCAAATATAATTTAGTGAAGTATAGTTAAAATAATTGTTTAAGTCAAGGGTGTTATGTGAAAATTGTATAGTGATCTTGTTTACAATATTGTGTGCAGTTCTGGTAACCACATGATATAAAACTGTTGCTCTGAAATCAGTCTAGCACAGATAACCAGCTACATTCTGGGCTTAAAGAAGTGTACTACAATGATAGTAAAGTCACTAAGCCTGTTATTCTATGACATTCCTTTAAGCCCAGTATTCAAAATCCTTAAAGACATTGATGAAGTCAACCCAGTGCAGTAACACATGAACCACAGTTCAGGAAAACTACCTAGAAGTGCACTGAAGTGCAGGATTGTGGGAGTGTAGAGCGAGGTACGCAGTCATGTTGCTGAAGCTGATGCCTTGTTTTTAAGTACCAAGCGGCCCAAATGTTTGTAACCTTCCTAATATTCTTAGGCATTGTATCCCTTAGGCCTAATTATGGACAATTTGCCATTCAGCTTTAAATATGTGTACAATTAATGTACTTGATGATTCTTACATTGGCATTTCATTTATCATACAGTATTGTTCATAAATGTGCTACTATAGAAGCTTCCAATTACATTTCTTATAGTGAATACATAATACATACCAGAGCTGTTCTGAAATAGTTCTAATAATTATGCCACACACATGCATGCAGAGCTGGAAGTGATTTGAAGATGATTACAGTCAGCACCCAAGACTTTGAGACTTTTGCTTTGTATTTATTTTTGTAGACGTGCAAAAATCCTAAAAAAGCATATTCTGACTTGTTTCTTTTAAGTATAGATGTAGGAATTATTATACAAACAAATACTCCAGCACATGTGTTGTATAGTTGAATGGTCTGAGTGAGAACAAGGTTACTTTTAATTTTGCCAAATTCTTTCTTGTTATAGCAGGGTGACATTGAGAAAGTAATATGGGCTTTCTTTCAAGAAGAGGGAAGAACTTTTATTGCTGTTCCAGCTGGCCCTGTACCAGGCAGTGGAAAAACTTTGGTTCAGATCTTGTGGAATACTTTGGAAAGCCTATCTAATTTTTTAAATAATATGAAGCAAAAACATTAATTGGTATTATAGCTTATATAGGTGACTTACAGAATCATTCACACCTTGATCAAAATGGACAGTGTACTAATGGACATTTAGCCTTTACAGTCATTAAACAGATGAGCGCCTTTCAGAGTAGATTGATACCAAGTGAAACAACACATGCAACAAAAGCTTGAGAAACAAGTTTAACTGTTACGAGTTATCGTAAATCAGTTATTTGTCAGAAGTGGCTGTTATTTCATTAACATTATTTACATGGAATAAGTATAGAAAATCTTATTGTGCATGTACAGTAGCATTAAAATAGCCATCTTATACACTTCAGGCTAGTGTGAGGCTCTATGCTCAATTGGTACTATGGTTATCACTTATTTTAAAGGTAAAGCATGTATAATAGATACAGTATAACCTTCAGAGAGTTTTGTGATTAATATTGTGCAAGCTGTTTCAGCAGTATTCCTTTTAGAACCAATATGGAGAATCAATACCCACAGTAGGTCATATGTTTGAATCAAACTGATGATTTATGAATGATCTTAGACAGTGCTGGTGTTTTGGGAGTTGAAAATACAAGGTGACATTGCCTTTAAATCCACACTAACACACTAGACCATCATCTAGTGTTGTGCGAAAGATAGTACACCACTTATTTTATAAATAATGACAAAGTAAAATTTATGTGTGTTATTTGTCATGGGAAGTTAGATTTATCTGCTGTTAAGACTTAGTGATGACTAGGTAAAGATCAGATATGCCCTAATATGTAAACCATACTATCTTGAAGAGTGTGTACTCTTTTTTTCTGGCAATGTGTTGTTGAACGTCTCCTCTGTCCAAAGTGACTCATTTGGTGAGATCACAAGGGGTTGTATTTTTGTCTTGTCTCTTCTGAGGGCGGGGGTGGGGAATTTCCCTTGGCTGTATTCAGTTCATTATACACGTACTGTACCACAAAGAAGTGTAAGCCTGGGCAGAGACTTACTTAGCTGAGCCCTGTTGTTCACTCACGTTTTTCTGGTGTAATTCGTAAATAATTAATTCTTAGAGTGCAGACTATAGTCATTATATATAGTACAATGCATATTTGTGGATTGTGTTTGGATTAATAGAGTATAACAGACAAAGGGACAAAGGGATCTGTACTTGGACAACTTTTCTTTGTAATTTATTTTGGTGATCAGAGATTCTTGCTTACTTGGTAAATTACCCACATTCATTTATAATAATAAAAGAGAAGGATTATCAAACACTGTAGAGGGTGCAAAGGATTTTCTAAAAGAATTTGAAATGATTTAAGACTTGGTAAACACCTGACGTTAACCAAGTCTCAAATCATTTCTAAGATGGCAGATGACATTTAATGTAGCCCAGGGCAGAGTGTTAATCCAGATAGAAGAAATATAAATTGTTGATATACATTAGATATAAGCTAAGTAACACTGAGTTTAAAGAAGCTGTCTATGAAAAGTGTTGTTTGAAGTGTGTTATGCTGCCACATCATTTACAACATTTTAGTCCCCACATTACAACCTAAGATTAGAGTTTCTGTGCTAAAAAAGCTGTGTGCTGGAATTAGTGGTTTTTAAAGTATTGTAGAAGACGGCATTTGTCCACTTGTTTTCCTGCAGTTAATTTTAGTGCAGCCAGAGTAAAGAAAAGATTGCATGCAGATTAAATATATCCGACTTGTTAGTAAACTGAACAACTTTGTCTGACGACTAAAATAGATTGTAGTATCTTGAAGAATCTTATTGTGTATTGGAGCTGTGATGTCTAGCCTGGCATGTCGAGCTGCTGAGTGATGAAGTGAAGCGGTGATGGCTGATGCCTGTGGATGAGAGCTGTCACAACCGTGCGCTTTGGACAGCAGTGACAGGAAGTGAAATTGCATTTAGAAACCTTGAACACTGTGACAAAGTCAGGAGACAGCATATTAAAGACGTTTGTTTTAATTAGCAGCTACAATAGTTCTTTTGCAAGCTAGTCCTGCTTTTTTACTTATATTTTATTATTGTTGATGGGCTGCCATTTTGGATATTTTATGTCAAAAAGCCATCCAATGTTCAGCAGGTGAAGCAAGATAAATTGGAATAGTAAAACCTTTATAACAGCTGTTATTGTTGTTGCTGCCTGGCTTTGTTCAGAAGTTTTTTTTTTACTGAATTGTTATTCACATACTCTACCCAAAGCAGTATTCCTTGATGAAAGCAATGTCACTCCATTTTTGGTCTATGATTCATAAATTGCAATGCATACCGTTCAATTGTTTTCCTAGTGCTTTAAAATTTTAAAAATCTTGTTACGTATATGTCATGCTCAGACGAGAGGTAGCACTTGATGTCAGACTATCTGGCACTTGATATGAATAATGTACAATGTAAAAAAAATGAAGTGATCAATATTTTATGCTAATAGCCTGCATTCTTCCGTTAAAATAGTAATATAGATAAATGTGTATTTAGAAAATGAGCATTTGGTTCATTTGCTTGAAATGGCTGAGAGGATTAACTTTCTTCCTTCTTCTGAATAGAGATGATTATGGAAAAGCTCCAGATGGTTTTTTAGTTGAGTTATGGATATATTGTGACTGTAGCATAGCTCTTCATTTTTTTCTGTTCAGAATCAAAGGTGATTTTACATCTTTAATTTTAAATCTGGCATCAGAAAAACATTTTTAGAATTAAGTCTGTCCCAAAATGGCTGATAATTGTAGATAAAATAGGCAGCCAAAGTGCTGCAAAAATCCATTTTCCTACAACTTGGATGATTTATAACCTGTCAGTTTCTGCAGCCCTAGATGTCAGTTTCTGAACATGTAATTGTCAGTTCTGTTTCCGAATCCCTCTTGCTTTCATCGGGTATATTGACTAAATGTTTAGCTTCTTTTGCAGGATACTGCTCGTCCTGACAGTCTAGGGAGAAAGTTTCAGAAACGGGAAAAGTTTTGTGCTGTAAAACTGTTGGAACATGAAATTTTCCTGTGGTGAGCTACAGTAACCTCAGGGAGACTTATAGTAGTGGCATTGTAATACTTATTACTGCGCCCTACATGAACTTTGAATATTTACGAAAACAGGACTTGTAGTAATCCTGTGTCTTTCCCAGAAAGGTTGACAGGTTAAAAGGTATGGTAGTACAGACAAATAAAGGTTATAATCTTATATATATATACATTTATTGTTTATTATTAATATATATTTATTCCAAGAAATTCTAATTGGCTGTTGATTTTCACCATCCAGGTCCACGATGGGCTTCCTGGAACCTGGGTGTGTTTATCTGTATCCGATGTGCTGGGATTCACCGTAACCTTGGAGTCCACATATCCCGAGTGAAGTCGGTGAACCTGGACCAGTGGACACCAGAACAAATCCAGGTAGAAAGCTCTCTTTTGCAATCCATGAAAGTGGTTGTTTCATTAGCAGTGTTGCAGGAGGCATTGTTAGTTGTTGTTGCTAGAAAGGAATATGCTATTAAACCCTTGTAATATACTGTATACCTTCTTCAATCTCTCTGTCAGGGCTTTGTTCAGTTTCACACAATTTTTAACAACTGTGGTGACTTTTCACTTTTAGTTATAGAACAGTTATTTAAAGGTTGTCTTGAATATCGTGGCCTCCAAAAGCATTTTAGCAGCAATGTCAAAACTGTACTTTTTGCATTAAAGAGAATAAAACATATTAGATGATAAGTGCAGTATGTTTTATTTGTATAAATCTAGAGATATGCATGATTAATCTAAGATTTCCCACTTTTTTTTCTTTTTTTAACTCCTAATGAAGGTTTTGTTTGCATTAGCAGTGCGTTAGCAGGTTTGGAAACATCTTCTGCAGGAGACACAATAGACAAAATGTTTCCCTCAGCTTCAGAATTTAATCTTTTGCTCCCATTGTTTGTTACATCATAATAAACACAAGCGTGCCATTTTTACAAGTGCTGCCTCTTAACTCAGGTGAGAAGAGAAGAAGTGAAAAGTCAGTGGATTCCCTGAACCATTTCACCCAGCGAGAAGGAAGTGAAACGGGAACTAGAATTCAGAGATGCTTGAAAGTTTCAGACATGAGAGCCAAACAGTTATACAGGGATTATCTGAATCATTGCCAACATGCATGAAGAGGCCTTACAGCTACCTTGTACTTCATAGCAGTAAATTTTCAAAAATCCATTTCAGCTTCCAGTCCTTAATCACACAGTTGCAAGGGACTGCCTTTTAATTGTATGCAGAATAATTCCAAAAATCAACTTTTTAATGTTAATTAGTTTAAAGTCTAATGCTGCTGTATGACGAATCACAGTCTTTAAAACTGAATTTTTCTATATCTTAGTAACTAACATATCACTTTTTTTATTTGTCTGCTCAGAATTTCCATTTCACCAAATGAATAGCTTTAGAGCACCCTTTTATGAAAACTGCTTTGAATAAATCCCTTTTTTGGTGTCTTAGTGATAGTAGTTCTATTTTAATTGCTAAAATAACCTTCAACTCCTCTCTCAGGTAACAGTACTTCAGAGTTTCAAGAATGTCATTATATTGCATTCAGACACAGTACTCCGCTAACTTCTGTAAATTCTTTGTATCTGTTCCTCAGAGTGTGCAGGAAATGGGCAACACTAAGGCCAGAAAACTGTATGAAGCCAATCTTCCAGAAAACTTCAGAAGACCTCAGACGGACCAGTATCCTCTTTATTTGCACTAACTAACTGTAGTATATGGAAAGCCAGACTGCTGTTTGTTTATAGTTTGTCTTTGTTTTGTATCCTAACAAAGCCACTTCATTTTGTTGTTTTCTGGTTTAAATTTTGTGCATGTACAGTATAGGATGTAGGATGATGTTTTATGGAAATATGAACTACAATGCCCTGTAGTTAAAAGGAATCCTCATGGGCTGCTGCTGGGGCTTTGAGAAAAGAGAGGGATAAAAGAGGGATACAGTCACCTGTCTTGAAGACTAAGGTACCATACAGCTATCCAGACATGCTAGACTGTGTGTGGGGTAGGTACTGACATTTGTTTCTGTGCACAAAGGAGTGTAATAAGACACCAACCATTTAATCAAAAGGGGCTGTGTTAATTTGCTTATTTTAATCTACACGATTGTGCAAAATGAGTGCACTCAGCAAAGCAAGTATTTGATAACAGCCCCCTTTTTTCCAAAGTTTAAAAAGATTTATTTTCCATTGTGAGAACATTGTGAATACATTTTACAAACCACCGTAATTATAAATTAATCCAGATATGCACAACTTTAACAACAAATCATTTGACAGTTTTTAACTATATGTGGAGAATCCCAAGCTCAAGATGATTGGCAAGAGTCACAGTTGACTTAAAACCAATGAAGTGCTCTGGATCGTCCTCATCAATAGGGATTTTAGACACCAAACAGAACATAAAAATAATTTCATACCAATTCAGGAACTTGTATGAAAAATTCAGTACACCTAAACTTACAAATACCTTATTTCTTGTAAATATATTGAATTGTTAAAATATTTTAAAATACATTATTAACTTATGTTTTACCCCTAAATTTCATTATTATTCCTGAGTCATAAAGTCATACTCGGCTATGTTTCTCTATTTAGAAATTGATTGGATCATAAGACAGTGAAAAAACATTTTGGTTACAAGTTTGGTACATATGGTATCAGTTCTTTTGTTCTTAAGACTAAAGGGTCAGTGATTTGTGTGCAGCAAAAATACAAGCATTGAAAAGTAGGAAAAACTACCTGAGAAACTATTTTTACAGGCACATAGCAATGCTTCCTTTTCCAGAACATACAAGCAACAGAAAACAACTTCTGTAATACAATTCTAAACTTTGGCATTTTTCATTGAGAAATGTACAGTACAGTTTAAGAAACTGAATACATCAGAACCTAGTGTTGCAAACTGTTTGTTACCTGAAGGATGTGCTGAGAGTGAGTACTGGACTGTTTGAACCAGGTGCTGAAGGACGTATGGTCAACACTCACCTGCTCTTTGATGATGAATTAATGTCAGTGGGAAAAAAGTAATAGTTGTTTTTCTTCTTGAATATTATAGGTAAGTTTAATAAGTTTTCCCCTTGTATTATTCTATTGAAGCTGTCTGATAATTCATCTGATACTGTACTCTGTTTCCCTGTGCTTTTGCGGCCTGTAATTGAATTTGTCAAAGAAGATGCCTTAATCTCACTTATATTGTTTAGTATGGTTACGTGAATCAGTTGATTTATATGCTTAACACTCTAATAACAGGGTTTGTAAAAAATCAAACTCTCTTTTTCTGGACACTAAAGGTGTTTCACAGTATACTTCTGATTAAAGTTTTCTGAAATAGCTCTAAATAGTTTGACAGGAAAATCTACATCTCTAATCGGAGTTTCTTTTTCTTTATTTTTCTTGATGATTTGATTCAATAACCAAATATGTTTGGTGATTTGGTTAACTTGGGGATTAGAGTGTATCACAGTCTAGAGTGACAGATGAGGTAGAAAATAAATGTGTCCTTGTGCCAAAATTGTTTTAAAGATGCAAAAGTCATTGTATATACTGTACTATAGTGTTATTATAGTGACTATTTTTTATATTAATAAGTTTTGTCTTATCTGCATTCTCTTCTTTCAAAAGATGTAAGAGTTACAGCTTTGTTCTGGATAGCTGTAGAATACCACTCAGTTGTGTAGTCTGTCACTTGTCTTGGTAGTGCTGTAGTAGTGTAACAAACCCATCAAAAATGTTCTTGGCTGCTCCTGATCATGCATCAGTACTGTTTTTATCGATACGAGTATAAGGAAATTACTAAAAGATCATTCACAAAATCCTCGCACACCTGTACAGATTAATGAGAATATACCAAAATGTAAATCATTAATGATTTTGTGTAAATGTGATTGCCATGGGTTTGAATGCAGTCCTGGTATCCTGGCCTCCTGGTTAATTTTCCAAAATAAGCAGTAAACATGTTTCTCTGTGCTTGGGGACATAGTTGCTGCCTTTCATTTCATAACTACGACAGTGTCCTTTTCCCCATTTTCAGATGAGTGGGTTTCTGTATGATATTACCGCTGGAGGAATCTTTTGTCTCATTTCACTCCCTCCTCCTTCCCCGCAGTCATACATTTTTTATTAGTTGTACAATTGTGTTGTGATCAAAGTTTCATGAAGGTGCAAATCCAATAATGCCTCTGAACCACGGATTTAATCAGCCTGCATCTCGCAGGTGGCAGGGGATCAAAGCCTAGATCCCATTTCTCCGAATTCTCTCAGCAAAAGGTTATGCTTTTGGGTTATTCTCACACTTTTTCTTTTCTTTCCACGATGCACAATGAAGCCTGTATTTATGAATAAAGCATATTATTTAGATTTATTAAATGCCATCTTTACATGACAACCAAAGAACAGTTTACAAAACAGACAGTAATAAAGCACATACTGTACCACTTTTTATTAATTTAAAGACAAAATGGGGATATTTCAGTTGATTTAAAAGCATCAGTTGTATTTTGTAATCATCCCAGGAATGTTTTGCCATACTCCTTTCATGGCACTACTGTAAGTATTTTTAGATGGTGTTTCTTTCAGGGTCTTAGTAGAAATTGTCAACTGAAATTTGTAATTAATCTTCAGACAGAGATATGGCTATTTTATCTGTTGACGTAGAGCCACACACATCTCTCTGGACTGTGAACAATTTTAAATTGGATGCAGTGCGTCACCATTGGCCCATAAGGAAACATTTCTAATGCTTTTATTTCAATGTACTGTTTTTTTTTCTCATGGCAAGGTGAAAGGTGCTCATTAATTGTTCTCTCTGTGATGATGAGTGTGACATTCTAGGAGTCATGTTGCTTCCCTTAATTGGATCCTCTTCAGAGCTGTGGAATTTTTCATCAGGGATAAATATGAAAAGAAAAAGTACTACGATAAAAGTGGACTGAATGAAACTGTTGTAAGTACATTTTAATTTAAACTTTTCAAATGGATAGTTTAGGGAGACCATTTAAAATTAATTTATCAAAATGCAAATAAACAGTAATTTTTTGTGAAATGCAATTTCTGCAATAATGTATATGTTTGAATTTGTGTGCATGTATGTGTGTGCATGTCTGTGCAGCTCTCCAATATAAGGTTGGAGTAGCAGAGTGATCAATCACCCCATATTTTCATGGTTCGAGGCTTTTGCATTCTAGATCATTGGGCTCTCAAAAAGAATAATTGAAAATCTTGTGAGGTATAGCTGAATCGTTTGATTTGCTTGAGAACTAAAATATTGGTGAGCTCAGCAGAGCCCTGCATTTATTGTCCAGAGAAGAAGTACCTGCTCTTTTGGAAGCATTAAAGGTTAACAAAACAGCATTGTTGAAAGTCTGAATGTGAATGTTTGAAGTATTGTATTTAGAATTAAAAAATATTCATGCTTATATTAAATTTGAATAATTGAATATTCAGTCAGTTCAATTGATTGAGGTAAATTACAGTTTTTAAGTTCTAGTTAATCTTTCAAACCATTTCCCAGTTCTTATTCTTTTTCCACATTTATGGATTACAACAAATTCATAAATCCAAAGAGGGAATTGGAATTTGTAAACTTGCCTGTGTTCAATCTCCGTATTGGTCCACTAAAAACCAAAGATACAAGTACCCTTTCTGGTCATTGTTGTACTCTCTGCAGTTACTGGGAGTGAGCCTTCATTGTCTGTGCCTTTGAATTTGCTATCTAGCGCTGACTCTTCATTCATTCGAGGTTCATGGGTGGAGACATTTCTCTCCAAGTAGCCAACAGCTGTTTTATCTCATGATATCATGGCTTTCTCAGAAGAAGCACTTCTCTCTTGTAGCTCTGCTCTTTCGAAAATGCTATGTCCCTAAAGGAAAGTATTTTTGTCACTCCAATTGTAACTTCTTCACTCATTTGTCTGGACCCTTGTTATATTAACAATTATGTAATATTATGGGTTTGCTAGCTGTGGGAAAAAGAACTTCCATTTCTTTATCTGTAGTTAGTATATTAGTAAATCGTTCTTTGAATGGTTTGAATTGGTTAAATTAAATTCATTAAAATTTCTTTGCTTCATCAAATACATAATGCTCTAAATGTGTCCTCAAATATTGAGTACCATGCATGAAACACTAATTTAATAATTACAGTACTCAACTTTTTCTTGCTAGTTTCAAATTGCCATCTGATTTGGAATAGCTAGTTGTGTGTTTGTCACACTTGGCTCTTGGCTGTGAACCTGGTGAAAGGACCCAGGTGAGAATGAGGAGCTGCAGCCACTTATCTTTTAACAGTCTTATACCAGAGGTTCAGGTCCGATGGGAGGAGAAACTCATTCCTCAATAACAGCCCCATATGCCTGCAAGTGCCCAGGATCTCGCAGGACACTATTACTTTGTCTTCTTTCTTATTTACTGCCTTGCCAGCTGACCTGTTTCATTGGTTTCATTATCTCATGTTGGTAAACACAGTATTTCATCATGAACAGAGATTTTAATTGTACTAGGTATTGTACGCCACTCGTACAGCAAATAAATAAATAGCATCGGATGACAATTCCTTTTCATATTTACCCTACCACTTCAAATGGTCAGGTCCTTGTTGCTGTGCTAAACTACATTAACAGACTGATCAACCAGTTTGGTATTATGAAACTGCCAATAGTCAGGAATATGCAATGCAAGTGATGTGGAAGTCTCCTGTTTTTGCTTTCTTACAAATGCAGAATCATTTTTCCCTTATAGCAAGGTTATGCCTGGAGTAACATATCCTTTTTTGTAATTCAGTAATTCAGAGTTACAGTCTCAACAAACTCCAGGCTTTGACTTTTATATGCAAATTAATGTTTAAAACAAGTCATTATTGTATTTTAGTGATGTGGAAGAAAAAAAGGTTGTCTTAAAAGTGCTTTGGAAGAGGGGGTGAGTGTTCAGGGGAAGTACATCCCTTGTGGTACGACAAAGCTGAGTGGAACAGTTTAATGTCTTAATGAATCCTGATGGCTCAGATGTTATCTGGTTTGTAATGCATTAAGGCATACCTTTGAAGTTTTTTTTTGTTTTTAATATATACAGGAGGTGGACAAATACTGGAAACACCTAACAAAAAAGTACTCATATTTTGAATTAGCTAAATCGCAATTAAAAAAGATTCTACACATGTTAATTTAATTTAAATACTAATTACTAATATTTTTCTGCTATAAGAGACATCTTAAAATCAACACTCTAATACATTTCTCAAGCTGCCTGAGAGATCCAACGGATTTTGAAAGAGATCAAATAGTTGGTGCCTGAAAAGGGGAAAACGGCACCACTAAAGAGGAGCAGCGGTCAAATGTTGAAGCCCACAAACCGGGAAAAACAGACACTTAACAACAGTTGTAAAAACCTCACAACAGTGTCCTCACAAATTACCATCAAACTGAATTTTCACCTCTATGATCTAGTGTCAACAAAAACTGTACGTTGTGGGCTTTACAAAGCTTATACTTATGTAGGGCTGTCATTCGGAAACCGATTATAACCAAGGCCAGTGCACAGCACTGCATGATCTGTGTAATGAGCACATAACCTGGACTTCTGAACAGTGGAAGAAAGTAATATGGTCTTATGAATAATCTTTAACTCTTTTTCCTACATCTGGATGCTTTTATGTTTGGAGAAATCCAAAGGAAGCTTTAAATGCACACGGCCTGTTCCCAATGTCTTGTGATAGTGAATTTGTTATGATTTTGGCAGCCATCTAGTTGGAATCATTGGATCCCATTGTTGCTCTGCATGGTAGCATTTTGACCAAGGAATTATGCAGCCAGTTAAGGTAACCAGGTGCACCCTTACATTCCATGGCAATAACACTATCACACACTGCTAAACGGATCTAAGATGTTTTCATGAACAGCAGTTTGATTTGAATCAAACACCTTCTAGGGCCTCCTCAACCACCAGCTCTAAGTGATCCTCAGTGATCCTTTATGGGAAGACCTCTATGAGAAAGTTGAGAAGGACTGAGGCTGTCCTGAAGTAAAATGGTGGCCCAACTCCTTATTTATTAATAAATATTCATACCTGTATAATACTTGGTGTTTCCATTATTTTGTCCATGCTTTTTATGCATAAAAATGTCATACTTAAAGAAACCCTCAGCGGTACTCTTTAAAATAATTTCAGTTCAAGCCTAATACATGTTTTAATGTTATTAAAAATAGTCCACAGGCTGTGATTTTGAGAGCCACATATTTCTTTGTCACTCCTGTTTTCATCCTGTTTATCTGAAAATACAAACCACATTGAGATATAAGCCGTAGTATGCACTGCTTTCAGAAAGGAGATAAGACCATGTGGCTCTCAGGGTCACAGTGGGTAATTCAGACATCTGCAGCCTGAAGTTTGTGTCAGCAAAAACATTTAAAGCACTTTGGGTCAAATCCACTGCAACTGAGAAAAGTATAGGGGACATGAATATAAAAAAGACATGAATATAACTGCACTTTCTCTTCCATTAAATTTTCACTTATTAAGTTGTAGTCAAACATTTGTGTGTGTTGTTGTTATGACAAAAAGATATCAGGCTCAGTTTTATTACTGGAGATTTCACTTTTTTGCTTAAGCAGTGTTCTTTGCTGAAATCATTTTTTCGAAGCCTAGTTTTTCACCCCCACTGCTGTTTCCCCTCTTCCCAGTGAAAAGCCTAATGAATGTGTTCATCACTCCTGGGCACCCAGATGATGCAATTAGGGAGCTGACACCAAGCATGAAATGAAGGTTTCTGAAAGGTTACCAGTGTAATTTCATCTGTAATAACAAACTACACTTATATATTACATGCTTGTTTCAGCAGAGAGCTTGAGAGCAGAATTTAGAATAGATATGGAGTTTGGTTTTACTGCACTAAATCCTCACTCCCCAGCAGCATGTCTATGGAACCTTCTGAAGAGCAGAATGGTGTAGAAGTAAAAAGGGCCACACTCAGAAGCCCAAGCCATAGAACTGACTTTGCAGAACCCTTTGACTGCATTATAGCAAATATTTGCCATATAGGTGAAATCTGGAATGGTGTTCAGTAACCATGGAATTTGGATTTTGTAACATGGTGGTTCATGGCAAATTTAATCAGGTACTAGAGCATGAAAATAAAGCCAATAGATAACCAATCATGTATGCTGTAATTCTTTCAGCTCCTCCTGCAAGTGTTTTTTCCTTCCTTGTTTATATGAGATTTGAAGAAAGAAATTCAGTTAAGTTCAAGTGTAAGGAAACCAAACATTGGCAATTTAATTTATCTGTCATCAGAATTGTCAAGTTATATTCATGCTTTTTGGAGTGATATTTGCATTGCCACAGTCTTCATGTATTGCTGGTAGTCTTTTAATTGTTAAATAGCTGTAGCAAAAGACAGTGAAGAGATTTTTTTTTCAGGATCTTAGAGGGAAGAAATCTGGTAGAAGAATCATTTGTAGCTTGCAGTTCACAGTGGATTTTATTTACAGTATCAAAACATTTTGATTGGTCTTAAGCCATTTCTCCAAATGTCTCTCTATTTTGGACAGATCTACAATGTATCATTAAAAAATATCAGTGTACTTGCTAGTAGCAAAGGTTACTTGCTTAATGTAACGACTGTCCTTGAAATAACTGTTTCAAGTTTATGGTGTCCTTTTTCAAGGAAGTACTACAAAATTGTACTCTGTCACATCCATCTGGCAAGACAACTTCAGCAAAAAAGTGAGACATAAACATTTCTTTATGCATCTTGAAGGAATGCCATTAATGCAATTTTTTGATCCGGTAAAGCCAGTATTTATTTGTAATCCAAAGATCCAGGTTTGAATTTCAATTCGATAGTAACTAAAAAATTCTTTAAGTATCCAGATGATGTGCACGCACAGTACTTAAAGTATCTGTATAATTTATAAGTAACTTGATGTGAAGTTGTTGAAATAACAGTGTAAATACTTAGATATTAGATATGAAAGGAAAATAAGAAATAAAGGAAACACCCAATCTTATTGATTTATGTAAATTCCATTACCAATAAAAAAACAAAAAATCCTTATTCATCTGCATCATGATTCTTTTTTGTTCTGTCTTTGTCCCCATCTGCTTATCAGTGGTCCTGTCTATTTCACTTGATATGTTGCACTTCTTGAAGTCTGTAACAGCAGGTATCCCTCTCATACCTGCAGTACCCATCGTCAGTGAGGAACCCGTCTGTTCACAATTTGCAGTTGTGAAGTCATTTGTTCCAGTATAACTACCAAGTCACTTTTGCACAAGCAAGTTGTCTTATAGCATCTGTCAGATGACTGCAAAAGGCTTACAGCAAAATCATAATCCATTTTATTGACTAGAACTCAGTATCTTCCCAATAAAATTTTCCACCAGTTTAAAACAAGTTCTGATTCCAATCAAACTTTTTCTTGAACTCACACAATTACACTAGGGTGTCATTCTCTGGTACTTTCTTTCACTTTAAAACATGACTGTAATACATCCTTTCTCATATCCAGTAAACTTCACATTTACAGATTGTTTGCCCTTTTGGTTCACTGTTACAGATTAGACGTATCAGATAACTCTGGTGTCTGGTCAGCATTGCCTTTCTGATCCAGAATGCAATTGTCTTTTTACATAAAGGACAAGTGAACAGATCACTTTGGCAAAGTGTCCCATCGTTCTTTTACATTTCCCTAGGCTGGCTTTAGAATTAATATTGTGGAATATTGAGATCTTTCACAACATTTAATAATAAAAAAAATCTCAGAAAATCACTGTCCTGGCAGTATTCCTTCATTATGTTTTTAGATCACAAATTCAACATCCTGTTTATCTATTTCTTCAAACTTACTGGATTCAGGTTCACAAAAGTAATCCCCTCAAAATATTATACAGCTGTTTTTGCCTGTTCTATAATTTGTTACGATTGGTGACACCAATTTTTTCCGCACCATGACAACTGTTTGATGCTTCAGCTTCTCTGACAACCATGATCATAAAATTTGCATCATAACTGCTGCTTACTCTTTGATATTTGGCCTTTTGTGATCTACTCCTTTACATGTAATCTATATGGGTAGGTTTATCCTTTTTCAGGAGCCGTATTTTTAAAATTATATTAAGAAAAAATTAACCTTATATTCAAAGCAATTTGGTAATAACTTGTTCCTAATCTGTTTTGCATTCGTGAAGTAATACTCAAAAAGTGCTTCAGGAGACCGATTTATTAATTTTGGGGGTCTGGATTTTTGGACAAAGACCTTTTTAAATTCTTTATATCTTGTAAGCAAGGTTATGAGTTTTAAAGGATACTATATTTGAATAGCTGTTTTTTAACCTTTTAACATCAAATTGACTCAAGAGGTCTATGCAATTATTGAATCATCACTCCCTTCGTCAATTTGCGTATTTGAACAACAGTACTGTGATTAGAGTTGCTGAGAGATACCTGCTCCTGCAGCATATACAGCAGTCTGGCAGTTTCATTGCCTCACTAATGCATTGGTTAAAACTGCTAGGTATTTCCCCTGGTACTGTGTGTGAGATATTAATGGGCAAGACCATAAAAACTTTGAGAAGTATTACTTAGTAAGACTCTAATGAATCCAAAGAAAATGTTCTGGTGATGCTAACCTAATAAAATAAGGATTATAAAAGAATCCATCAGCTGAATGATAGGAGTTTCTGACACTCTGCAATAACCTGAGCTATAATGGGTCCATTTATTCTGACTTTTTCTTGCTGGTAGCGTTGACAGCTGGAGAACAGAGAGTTGTGGCTTTATTGCTGTGAAGATCTAAGAGGTATCTGTGGCAAAGTTTTAGTCACATATTATCTGTTGGAGGAATGCTAAGATAATGCCTTCATTAAACCATTCATGCGTAGCCCAGAAAGCCAACTGTCTCTTCCGGGAGGCAGATACTATTTGATGCAGGTGATGAATGACACATTCTGATCAGATAATCTTCAGGGCTATTCAAAATAAGTAAAGTAATAATTATCTGGAAAACAGGGTAACCTTTCAGCCTTCATGATACAGATTGGCTTTGAAAAGGGATTAATAACTTTATGATGGCTCCCATCAGCTTGCTCCATCTGTCACTGGCTAGCAGTTTTCTTTCATATTGTGAATAGGGCTCAGAAACCAAATGAACTTGCTGCAGTTTGAAACCTGCCGCTTTGCACCAAGAGAGCATTTTAGAAAGAAAATGTTGGTTTGTTCTTAAGATAGGAGTTTTTTTTCAAGTCGAGCCACCTGCCACCAAGGAGAATAATGAGTTATGGCTTTTTGCTATGCGTATATCATAAGGGAACGTTTGTTTTTTCCCCCTGTAAAGCTTTCTTATTCAGAGTAACTGTTTTATTTCTCCCTAAGCATCCAAAAGCTGAATAATAAGATGGTGCACAGGCTTTGTTGCCGCTGCCTATTAATTTTGAATTCTCTTCATGTGCTTGAGCTGCTCTCTTTCCTTTTCCTCTGCACAGAAGCCCTCTGATGCTGTTCTGCCCCCGGCATCCTCTCCTTCCTTGCCAGCAGCTGCTGAGAAAAACAAGCTGGAGGTATCCTCTTTGCCTGCTTGCTGTAAACTGGTGGCTTTATCAGATTTTTCTTTCCTTCTTCATAATGGAACATATTTCAATGCCAGGTCACAAAAAGCCATGGTTTCATCACTGCCCCTCAAGAGAATGTGCTTTAGCCACTGAGCTCCAGAAAAGTCCTGAAGGTGCACTCACCTCTCTCTGTCTGACAAATTCATATTTAGTCGTGTTGTTTTCTGTTGCATCTTCTGGAAGAATGTGTGGCATGATGGTCAACAGGTACATTTAAAAAAACAGAAGCTTGTTTGTCAGAAAGGAAAATTCATTTTCAGGTAGACATCAGTATGAAAAAAATGGTATGCAAACTTTTTTTTACTTAAAATGAGTCCTGTGTGAGCTAGCCAAAGCAGTGTGGTGTAATAATTGGAGCTATTGTTTCAAATCCCAGGTGAGACAATGCTTTGATGCAATATAATTAAATAAAGGATTTCAGGAAGAGAATTGGTCCGAGGTTTAAAATCAAGATATCTATGTTGTATATAAAGGTCACTCTCCTTTTGAGGTGTCTTATACATTTATTTTAAAGAAAATGTTACCATTTAATATTTCTTTATCTTACTGTACCTTCTTAAATAACCATATGTCAATGTAGCCATTTCACAAAACTGTGTACAGCAGTGCAACTGTCTCCTGCTTTCCCAGTCTGCTGGAAACTGCTTTCAGAACGTCTTTGTGTGCCTGAGTGGGTATCACAGAGATAGTATGATCAAAGTGGAGAATAACTTGGAGCTAAGCATACACAGGGCATGCTGTGGAACTAGCAAGATATTAAACGACAGCAACATGCAGAAAATTCCACAATCAATATTGATGTTTGAAGAAAAATGCTGTGTAGTATAATAAAGTTAACAAATTCTAGTTATTTTTGTCCTATAGAACTAAGGATTCTTAAAAAAAGTGGGTCACTCTGTTTGAGGACTCAGACACTCTTTTTTAAAGCTTTAATGAAATTCTTTGATCCCTTTATGGCTTGTTTTCTTATTATTCAAGAAGCAAAACTCTGAAATGACTGAATTTCCACCCCCAAGATTAATTCCTAGATGAGTTGTAACTAATGTACTTCATCATAACAGTCTCAGTGAGATATGAGCCTGCAAAATGATTGTCAGGATGCCATTATTGATTTGCTGGTGACACTTGTTAATAGGTAGGTTAGTGTCATACCTTCATGTTCATGTTACGCTGTACTCTATCATTAAATTAAACCAAGAGTTTTTCTTTACTGTGTGACTGCATATACTGTACAGTAAAACGTTTTAAAGGCTTAGTAAAAATGAACAGTCAGCAGGCAGCATGAGTGTAATTAATCAAGGCCTGAACTCTGTCATCAGCGAAGAAAGGTAATGAATTTAATATTCTAATAAATCTGGTAGCATACAATTAAAAGAAGTCTATTGCAGTATCCAAAGCGGTTTCACACTGCACCTATTTTTGGAAGCCTGTTCTAAGCAGGGAAGCTGATGTAAATTCTTTGTTTTCACCTCAAATAGAAAGAAAAAGAAAAGAAGAAAGAAGAAAAGAAGAGAGAGAAGGAACCTGAGAAAGGGAGTAAGCCCACATCTTTTGAAAAAGTAAAAACTGTAAGTTTTTCTCACTTTTTGGTAAATTTAATTTACTCATACAATGAATGAATTTCTAGTTTTACAGCTGTGAGCCATTTACAGGCAGAAATAAATTAGTAATATTTTGCACTCTATGTGTGTTTGAGCTGTAAAAACCTTTCTTACTGTAAATGTTCTAATTTTGCAAAGAGCTGCTGCTCTGGTCCATTCTTGTTAAAAAAAAGAAAACCTGCTAAGAACCTTTCTTTTCAATTTTCTGGGTCTCATTTGCATGATTGAACATGAAAAATTCAAATTCTAATCAGTTGATTAGTGAGGCTTGAAAACTATCTTGGCTTCTCTGTGTCACTAATCTGATTTGACCATTCACAGTGAGCATGCTGGAATAGTCAAGACTGCCCCCTCATAAAGCAATGCTTTCTTTTATACAGTATGTTTAATTAACATGTCACTAGCATAGTTTTAAGTGCACATGAGAGATTTACTCAAGGTGGTTCTGATCTGCGCATCAGCGCAGGAGATAACGATCGACAAGGTGAGGGATACCATTTGTGCCTCAACTGTAAGATGACATCCACTGATGAGCATCACAGAGCACACTGTTTTTCAGTCTACAAGTTCAATCTTGCTTTTATTATCCAGGTTTATTAATTTAGCACTTTACCCTTTTAAATAAACAAATGTTGTCTGGGCATACGTGCCAAATACAGAATTCTTCCATAGAACGTCTGTAATTATATTTTAAAGGGGACTTGCACTACATTTTTCATGTGCACATCGTCACAGAGAGGTATGGCTGTGCATACTTCTGGCTGTGCAAGTAGCCAAAATTTACATGGCAATTTTTGGAAATGAAGATCTGAAATAGTGCAAAGAAAGTGATAATAAGCATTTGGAAACCAATTCAGATTGTAAATATTTTATATTTATATAGGTTTAATCACAACACCCTTTACTGACCAGTTTTGTTGCTGTGGCTTAACTGACAAAATTGACATCAGGTTTTGGGCTGTACACGTTAGTCAGTCATTGAGATTTACCCTTGGGTTTCATCAGGACGTTATCGTGAGAGTGCTCTCCTAGCCACAAGAAGTAATTGACATAAATCAGTGAACCCTTATAGGCTGAATTTGTCAGTGGAATTGGGTTTGAAAAGGTTACAGCACTAATATCTTTTCTAATGTGCTATGTGCCTGCAACCACATCATTAATTAAAAGCATTGGTAATAGTGGTGGTGAAATCTGCCGATTCAACCTCCTTAATATGTGATGCATCATTAGGAATGGTAGATGGAAAAATCAAATCAACATTTATACACATCTCTCACTCACACATAGATTTCTCAAGAGTGAAGAGTCTTGGATTAGGTTTAAAAACAGCAAGTGTTTGTTCTTTGGCTTGTATATAAAGTCATCAATGCAGTTTCAGTAATAAAAAAAATACTGCAGTGCTGTTAAAACACATAAGTCTCAAGGTAAAGCACAATACGTTTAGGAACACAAATTGGGATTGGCTTAAACTGCCCTCTCAAAAACACAACAGTATTATCATTGACCAAGTCAGCAAGCAGTTGACAAAATAATAATAGAACTTAATTAATTTCTAAAAAATAGAAAGAAATTTAAAAAGCATTGCAGCCTTATTCAAGTTTATGTTCACCTTGTGTTTGTTCGGAATTAACAGTCTGGAAACTTGCTATTAAATTTGCAAATTTAGCTGTTAAAAGAATAAGTACCCTAGAATCCAATGCAGTGCAAAATCTGTTTTCTATTCGGACAATAAATAACCTAATTTACTGGAAATGTTCAAATTTAACTAACATTTCCTAATGATGAAGGAGTCAGTAAATTAGTGTCTGTTACTTAAACTTGATATGTATGCTTATTTAATTACACAACACCCTTTACAATCTTAAAGAACCAAAACATTAGAATGAAATGATGGTGTATCAAAATGAAAATAAAATAGTGGAGATTATTTTAGCAGCAGTAAATGAGCTTTTTAAAACTAGCTTAAATAAGTTGTGCTTTTATTTTCAAACAAAAAATCAACAAACAGCAAATGTAAAATGAAAAACTAATAGAAGCGAAAACTGGGAAAAGGGAAGTTAATTAAACTAGTTCTAAGGAAAAAGACATGTGAGTTTGCTGTCAGTTTTTGTACTAGAAAAAATATAATCCAGCCATGCGTCTTTACAGTTTCTGAAAATGAATGCCACCAAGTGTGAATTTTTATGCCAGTCTCCACCCAACCCTGTAAATCAGATTCCCTGGCTTCTACTAAACAAAAGATGTCATGTCTGAAGACTGAGTCCCTTGGTAATGAAAGCAGTAGTCATTACATGCTGTATTAAAAATAATAAGATGTCAAATACATTTTTAAATATCCAAATGATTCTGATTGCTATCAAGGTGTGTAATTGTGTACAATCATTTCCTGTGCATTATTTGACACATTTGAAATTATTGTTTTTCCCTGTTTTTTAGATAGTCTTCTGGAATCAGTAAAATCTAGTTATGTTTAATAGAAAATAAACTGTCTATACCTCACTGTGAGGATGATTGTCTTCCATGAACCTGAAGGTGATGAAGGAAGACCAGTACCCAATCTGCACACTCTCTGGCAGCTTGAGCAGGTGTAATTTGGCATGCTGCACAGTACGGTCATAGTGAGCTCTTATTATTTGCTTTATTTGCATTATTTGCTGCTTTGTTCCAACTTCCCTGGTTTCGAAGCTCTGGAGTCCGTTCCAGATATTATTCTTCTGTCTGGTTTAGTCAAAGGCCATAATCTCCCTTGAACTGATACTGATTCTTCATGTTTGCAATACCATATTTTTAAATGATTCTTCTGGCATCTTTTGGTGCTGTTGCTTTGGATAGTCTGGGAGAAGAACACCTTCTTATCAAACCTTGAGTCTGAAGCCTGGACAACATCATTAACCCACTATTTTGGGAGCCAGATCATGTCTTCAGTGCTTGTGGTGCCAGCTGAGAGAATACTAATATTGACTCAACTGTCCTCCCACTGGCAAAATGTTACATATTCGTTGTCTGTGTTTCAGCCTGTACAGTAAGGTAGGAGTGATGACTGGATGGTAGACTGTCAGTTTAGTCTGAGTTTTGATGCTGCCAAATTGCTTTTCTTGGTTGAGACATGAGAGGTTTTCCTTTTCTAGAAGAGAAGATTTCCCCTGGACATAACTACTTCCCTTGTCTGTGTTTTCGAACTTGTTTGATACACATAATTAAGCACATGATATGTTGATCAGTCCAGTACCGATGCATTTCTGTCAGTTATCTGCTGATGTACTGTAGGTGTCTTTGCAATTCTCCTTATAGACATAGTTAATCAAGTACCGGGATTTACGTTGTGAATGTTTTCAGGATGTTTTGTGTCTGTTTTTGTGGAGAAAGAGGGTGCTATTGATAATGAGACCATCCTCTTAACATTTGGTAAAACGACGAACACCTTTCTTACCATTTTTTTATTTAATTGACTGCCATCTCTTTCAACTCTGGAGTTAAAGTCTCTTCCACAGGAAGATTCTACCCTTCATTCGGATTCACCAAAAAAGTTGATCATGAGAAGTAGCTACTTTTTAGAATATTTGAGCATTGGTTTTTCACTTGGAAGATGTGTGTTACAATGTGTGAATAAAGGTAAAATCGTGATTGCAGGCCACTTAATGTGTTCCTTTGTAAAGAGTGTGTACACTTTCTATAGGCACTGTAAGTAGCAGTGTCTTTCTGTTTTTTAACTGATCTATGCCACTTTTTAAATATTGTTTTTTAATTAATAAAAAGTGCATTATGCACAAAACATGTACATTCAGGATTGTTAAAAACTGTTTGGTTATTTTGTACGAGATAAAAACCCATGTTTGTTCAGTCTGTATCTTAGGATAGACCACCACTGCAAAGTGGTACTGTATAATCCTAGCATTTAAAAGTCACTCTGAGAGTTGCCCATGAACATGAATTCAATTTCATGACTATGTCCGCTTTCCCTTTTCTTTCTGGGCTATGTTCATGCATCTAGCAGTCATTAACACAAACTATTCTGAATGCACATCTCTGCACAGATCAAACCAATGCTGGTTTTTCTAATGTGATATGAATAGAATCCATTAATTTTTTGTTCATAGCTTGCTCTGCTGGTTAGTGTTTTCATTCTGGGAACGTGACAGGAAATCAGGTGAATTCTGTGGGGGTGGGGCAGTCTGAATCTGACCTTGTCAGGGACTCAGAGTTTGGAAAAGCATGCTGGGAATAAGTACAAGAATAAAATCTGCCCTGTTTGCTGACCTAAACTTGGATAGCTGATTGATTAAAGTGACAGCTTCAGTTCTGTCCTTTCAGCTACAGGAATAGAATAGATTCTGACAGAGACGTGACTTCAATGCTAAAAAACAGAATAAAATACTGTAGTAATTCAGTGTTTATTTTGGCAACAAGAGCAGTATTATTGCCAAAGTACAGTAAAATCCAGCATTGGGCTGGACCCCAGCTTTAAGAACCTTGATAGTCTGTTACAACTGGGACCAGCATGGAAATGCTGTCTGTTGAATATGCTTGTTTTTGTTACACTTTGAGTGTTTTATTTTTACATAAGTGTAACATTTCAAAACATGTTTAAATGGCTTTGGTTACAGAAACCTGATGCAGTGCATCTTTAACATTTCTCTGACATTTCTTATTGAACAGTATAGCCACAGAATTGGGGCTACTACTAGTGCCATCCGTGATCAGTAGCCTCAAATCCACTAGTTCTTGGTAAGGCTTTTGGCTATTAGAGCCTATGGTGGAAGTTTATATATGCCCACACATGCAATCACCAGGAATATGTAGAGATACCAGTTAGCCTGTCCTTGGAAAGCGAAGGAAACCTATGGAGACAAAGAACTTGCAAACACCAGAAAGTGTCCCATCCCAGACCTTCACCCAGTGCTAGAGAGCTATAAGCAGTAACACTAACCTCCATACCTACTTGTAAATTACAATTTATTGTGAGATAA